CGAATTTTCAAATCCAGACATGAACATTTTTTTTCTTGATATATTAATTACATTTTTGTTTTATTTAATTTATTTTATCTTTAGTGAATTTCTATAAATTTTGCTGTAGCTGAAAATAAAAAAAATTCTGGAGTTGAATTTCAAGCGAACAGATTAATCAAATACTATTTTATTAACTGAATTGAAAATTATTTGAAGCCGATTCGATTTAATTGATTTCAATCAAAATTATTTTAATCAAATAATTTTTAATTCACTGAATTAAAAATTCTTTGAATCAAAATCTATATTTAATTGACTTCAAAATCAATTTAATTAACTGAATTAAAACATTTCTTAAAACAAATTAATTTTTATTGGCAAAATTAAAAATTACTTGAAATAAATACCATTTAATTGACTTCAAAAAAATTAGTTGAAGCCAATATTATTTAATTGACTGAATTAAAAAGTACTTCACAGGAAATATCTTTAAATTTGCTTCAAAAAATATTATTTGAAGCAAATTCGATTTAATTGACTGCAATCTAAATTATTTAAATCAAATAGCATTTAATTTCTTTAAAATAAAAAAATTATTTGAAGCAAATTCGATTTAATTGATTTAAATCAAAATTATCTGAATCAAATATTTTTTAATTGACTGAATTAATAATTATTTGAATCAAATTCTATTTATTTGACTCAAAAAACAATTATATGAACCGAATACTATTTAATTGACTTAAAAAAAAATTATTTGAAGCAAATACTATTTAATTGACCACAAAAAAATTATTTGAAGTAAAATACCTTTTAATTGACTCCAAAAAATATTATTTGATGAAAATACTATTATTGACTTCAAAAAAAATTATTTGAAGTAAATTCTATTTATTTGACTTCTGGCAAAATTATTCGAATCAAATACCTTTCAATTGACTCAATTAGAAATATTTTAAGTAAATAAATAAATATTTTAAGCAAATACCAATTAATTAACTTACTCAAAAATTATTTGAATCAAATTCCATTTAATTGACTTAATAAAAAATTACTGAATACAAATAAATATTGATTCGACAATAGACAATTTTCGAGACAAGACGAGAATAAAATAAATTTTTTTTTCCTTTTTTCCTGTGACTGTAGAATAAAGCCACGCTCGACTGTTGATCACAAGTTTTCTACTAATTTAAATTTAGAGAGAGCTCGGCAGAAAATGGTTAGTGCAGTGTCAGGAACTCTGCAGGACAATTGTCGGTGTCCCAGGCGGAGAGCCAGTAGCTAGGAACCAAAACATCGATATCACTGACCCAGCAAACTGCTATACACTCGGCAGACAATCTCCATTATATTTGATGTTCAGTTAACGGCCACTAAAGCCGTACAGTTTCTGAGACAGTTGTTTTTTCTTTGCTTTTGCATCCCAATAATCCCCCCAACAGCTTGATCTCAGATTGATCTCTTCACCGTAAGCCGAAGAGAAACGTCCCGCTAACGAGGGAGATCGACGATACAATTTGACATCCAGTCGACTGAGATTTAAATGTTATCATCAAGTCGCCGTCTCCGAATGCCCCCGGTCGTTGTTCATTAATTAGAGAATTAGAAAATTCTATTTTTTTTCTTCTTTATTGCTAATTTTTTCAAGTTAATTTTTACCTTTCGGATATTTTTCCTTTACTATTTTTACTTTTCAGTTATTTTTATTTGAATTATTTTTATATTTTTACTTTTCGGCAAATTCACTTTTTCCAAGTTAATTTTTATTTTCTATTCAATTAATTTCAAATTGGTCGTTATAAATATTTTTTTTTTTTTTTGTTGAAAATAAATAAAAATTTCACGTGAATTAATTTATTAAATAACAATTCCCGTTTTTTTTGGACTACATAATAATTTATTGAATATGTCGAATTAAATATTTCTTGCAGGGGTTCGCTTAGCTGACCTGATTCCGCTGGCTGCGGTAAAAGGTCACGAGCAACGCAGCCAGATTCATCATGTTGCTAAATTACAAATATATATAATATATTTATATATATATATTTAATATATAATATGTGTATTTATAAAATTTGAATGAACGCTCTCAATCAAGTTAATATTTTTTCTAAACTATCTCGTTCACTCACTCAAGCACACTTTTTCCCTCTCTCTCTCTCTCTTTTTCTTTCTCACCAATTAATTTCTTTATACCTCTGTTGTGTTTTGTTTCTTTTCTCTCTCTCTCTTTCACTCGCTTTCTCTCTTTCTCGCGTTAATTGTTATGCAAAAATACTAGTTAAATCCCTGTACATAAAAACCTTGACGCGCGATGCGCAAGTATGCCGTCATTGTTCCTCCGGTGGATTCAAAGCGTTAAACCTTTATTTTTATCATATTTTTTCGTATTATTTTTTTTTCTTACTTTTTCTTATTATTTTTTATTTTTCTTACTTTTTCTTATTATTTTTATTTTTCTTACTAATTTTCTCATTCTTTTTTTTTCTTCATTTGTGTCTAGAATTTACTTACAAGGTATTTGGTTTACTCCATGCGCATCACTCTCGACATGCAGTTCTGTATTTTTAAGGTATATAAATTATGGTAATGATTTCGGTAGTATTAATTACTAAATAATGTTATCAATGCAATCAGCGCGCACCGCCTTTTTTTTTTTTGTCGCTATAATAGATTCGCTTTTCTGCTCTCTCAATCTCTTTTTTTATTTACTGCCTTTCTCACTCGTGACAACTAATTCCCCACTTTTTTTTTTTTTTATTTCTTATTTCTCCTACCGCACGGCCCCCCCCCATGCCGGTTCCCCGAGATTTCATGAGAAACAGTTTACGACTTGAGAGTAGACTTAGTGGCATCTCGAGATAAGCCTTTAGAGCGACCTTGCAAGGAGAAAGACAGAAGGTGTACCCCGAAGGAAAAATAATACACACGAGGCGACACTCAATTGAACCGAGTCGCTCGACTTGAAAGAATAGCGAAACCATTTTTCATCGAATTCTCGCGGGGAAAAATTGATTCGAAAAGTTGAAAGCGTTCGCGGAGATTTTACAATATTTTCACATTTTAAATTTAAGTTCAAATTTTGTTCCATTTTCAGGGTGTCTACTATTTTCGATCAAAAAAATCCCCGGTTATTTCCCGGCTTTGTTCTAATTTTTCCAGGTTTTTTTTCTCATCAAATTTAAATTTATTTGATTTCGAACATAAATAGATCTGCAAATGGCTTTAAAAATTTAAAAATGAAAAAATATCTGGAGTTGAATTTTAAGCTACCTGATAAATCAAATACCATTTTATTAACTGAATTAAAAATTATTTGAAGCCGATTCGATTTAATTGATTTCAATCAAAATTATTTGAATCAAATACTTTTTAATTGACTGAATTAAAAAATAATTTGAATTAAAATCTACTTAATTTACTCCAAAAACAATTATTTGAAGCAAAAACTATTTAATTAACTGAATTAAAGCATTACTTAAAACAAATTAATTTTTATTTCATTCTTAATAGAATGCAAAGAAATTTCAAAAATATTCAATTATTTGTTTATGAAAATTTAATTATCTTGAAACAATAGAATTTAAACATTTCAAAAATCTTATTTTTCAGAATTTTCAAAAAAAACTTTGTGAAAATTCAATTTTATTAAAAAATTTTAAGTGTGTCTCTTCTTTTAAATTAACTAATAAAATGTGAATATGACTCTTTATAAAATTCAATTATTTATCAATTATTAAATTAAAATTCTTTGAAAATTCTAGTTGTTAAAAAGTTTCTAATGAAATTCTTTAACAAATTTAATTATTTTCAGTTGAATTTCACAAAATATCTATTAATTCGATAATTTGTTTTAAAATTTATTTACATACTATATTTAAATCAGTGACTGATTTTTTACTACCAAATTATTTTTTTTAATTAATGCAAATTTAGCGAATAGTGTAAATATCTATCAAAATTGAAATAAAAAGCGATTTTTTAAAAACAAATTAAAATAATAAAACTTTTTTTTAATTTGATGAAAAAATTCCCGGTTTGGCATAAAATTCCTGGCTTATTCCCGGTCAAATTAAATTCCCGGATTTCCAGGTTAGTAGACACCCTGATTTTTATTTCGTTTTATTTAATTTCATTTCGATTTGTTTTATTTAATTTTATTTCGTTTTGTTTTATTTAATTTTATTTCGTTCGATTTCATTTTATTTAATTTAATACAATTCGAATCAATTCATATCGATTCGGTTCAATTTAATTCAAATCAATTCGGTTCAATTCAGTTTAATTCAAATCCATTCGGTTCATTTTAAATCAATTCGGTTCAATTTAAATCCAGGGTGTCTAGCGAACCGGGAATCCGGGAAAAACCGGGAAAACCCCGGGAATTTTTTTTTCCCGGGAAAAACCGGGAAACCCCCGGGAATTTTCTTTTAAATCCGGGAATTTTTTTATGAAGTACTTTATTATGTTGTTGGAAAAAATAGTTACATTTTTTCAACGCTTAACTTAATTTTTTTTCAATTTCGAATTGTATATTGATTCTCTTCGTATATTAGACAATGTTTTATTATTGTCCAATTAAGACCTAACTTATATGGGAAATGATTTTCGATGTGACAATCCAGTGGGCAAAAAACCATCATTGTTTTAAAAACGTTCCAAAAATGTTTTTAGAACGTTTCATGTCTGCCAAATAATGTTCCAAAAACGTTCCATTGCTTTTAAAACGTTTTAGAAACATATAACGTTATTGGGACGTTATTTGGCAGACATGAAACGTTCTAAAAACATTTTTGGAACGTTTTTAAAACAATGATGGTTTTTTGCCCACTGGGAAGCTTGTGCCAAATTTTTACAGTGATGCGACACCTGTTTTTGATTTTAAACATGAAATTACCGTCAAGTAAATCACAATACAATTCTTATTATAAGTTTTACAAATATTACGATTAAATTTACTGTAAAATTTTAGTTTTCAATTATCCGGGAAAATTATTTACATACCGGGAAAAAACCGGGAAAACCCCGGGAATTTTATATTTCTAAATTACTAGACACCCTGAAATCAATTCGGTTCAATTCAAATCAATTCACTACGATTTAATTCAAGTGAATTCAGTTCAATTTAATTTAAGTGAATTCAAATCAATCCAGTTCAATTTAATTCAACTTAATTCAATTTAATTTTATTCAATTTAAATTAATTTCATTCAATTTTACACAATTTTATCAAGTTTAATTTAAATGTACAATTATCGCGTCAAAACTTTCCAAGTGAAGACGCCATTTGAAAGCAAGTATCACCTCGATTGTAGATTTTTCCTTAGTGAGTGTGTGCAAAATAATCGCGAACCGTGAATATTGGTGTAAGAGAAAAAAATAAAAACGATAGAGTTTAGCACCAGTGTCGCGAGTAGTAGTCTTGATAATTGAGTCTGTCTCCTCTTGGTCCTGGACCCGTGTGTCCTTTTTGAGAATGAGACAAGCAGACGGAAGAGCGATTTTTATAGAAAGGTGGCTCATTAAGTTATAAATTCGCGAATTCGAGCGGCTAGAAGCGTCTAGCAGCGATTAGCGCGAGATTGGCGGTCGACACGAGGTGACTTACAGTATTAATGGGGGATCGGCTGCGGGGTCACTTCTTGTTCTTTTTCGCCGGTGGCTCCTGAACGTCCTGCGAATCTTCAGTGTCTTCGCTGTCCGTGGGACGTGGAGTATTATTGCTGTCATCGTCTTCAGTGGCGACTAAGGGAGTTGTCGGCTTGTCCATCGAGTCCTCGGTGAAGGAATTTGTGGTGCTGTTCTCGTCAATGACATTTGTGTGATGTGGCTCTGACGATTCTTTGCCATTAACAACGACGGCTGGCGTGTCTTGGTTGCTGTCATCGGACGGCTCGGTTGCTTCGCCATTAGTTGGCGAATGGGAATTTCCGTTTTCGGCCGTTACCGGAATTCCGTCGAGTAATTCGGGTTTCAATTCAGAAGCAACATAGTGCGTCCAGAGGGCCAATTCCACTCTATGAGGACTCCAAGTCGTGCCGTTTGATGCTGAAAGAAGCAGAAGATACCGGTTCGTTAGATGGGAGTTTCTGAGGATTCGGTGAAGAGGGAATTCTCGTTTTAGAGTTTACTAGTGTGCTTAGTCATCCCCAATGGTGTAGAACCTCGAGAATTCTTCACATTCTAATCCCGACGATAAATTTAACTTTTCTTTTATGCTTTTAGTATAATAGTGAATAGTCAGGGGAATATTTTTATCAATTGAATTTTGAATCTTAATTATTTAACGTCCGGTTGGGAGGAACAGGGTTGCCACAAACATTTTATTTTTTTTCCCAGTCTTTTCTTTCTCTGATTCCCAGGCAAAATTTTGATTTTCTTCCTCATCCTAAAGAATGTTCTGATTCACTCTAAAAATTATTAGATACTCAAAAAAACGTTCTATTGCATTTATTTACGAATTTCTTTTAAATTCTTCGAGAACATCAATAACTTGTTTCTTAAATAAATATTTAATTATCGTTTTCCGTAAGAATTAAAATTTTTCAAAACAATAAAATTCAAACCTTTTTGAAATTCAACAACTTATAAGAATATTTAATTATAAAACATAAAGACATCAATAACTCCGAGTCTTCGACCCGGAGTAATCAATTTCTTCATGTTTTATAATAATTAAAAATGACTGAGTGATAAAATAATTATTTTATATTATAAGAATATTATAATTCTTTAAAATTATTTTCATCATTTCAATTCAATTATTATTTTCTAGAATTCTTAATTAAAATTCTGCTTTAAATCACTTATTTTTAATAATTTTTGAAAAAGTTCTTTAAGAATTTTCAAACGCATTTGTTTACAATTCAATTTTATGAAATTTTGATTATTCGAAAATTCTTCAATTAAATATTATAATTATTAGAAAATAAAAACTTTAAATAATTTTAAAAAAAATTGAATAAATATTTTTCAAAAAAATTAATTCTACAGAACTGTTGTTAAAAGTACGAAAAATTCAAATTTTCAAAGATTTTAATTCGAAACCACTTCAAAATCAATTCTTCTTAGAAAATTCTACGAGATTTCAATTATTATACAAAAATAAATAAATTAATGAATAATTGAATGTTTATTAAAATTGAATTCTCATAAAGAATTTTATCAACAAATTTTTAAATAATTTGAATTCTTTTCACAAATTTTAATAAAAGTTTTAAGAATAATTACATTTTTCGAGGAATTCGTTTAAAATTGTATTGAAAATAATTAAAATTCTGCGGTGAGTTTTAATTGTTTATGAAAATAATTATTGAATTTCTAAAAATAATTTTATTATTTATGAAAATAATTGAATTCCTGTAAAAAATTTTACTATTTATGAAAACAATGGAATTCCTGTTAATTTTTTATGATTTATGAAAATAATTAAGTTTTCGCGGAGAAATTTTATTAAAATTTTATTTAAACAATTCAATTCTTTTGTAAAATTAAATTACAATAGTAGATATTGAAAATTATTGAATTAAGGAAAATTTGTAAAAAATAATCAAAATTTTGCCCCGAATTTTATTAAAATTTTTAAAAAATTTTATTATTCATAAAAATAATTGAAATTTTGACGAGTATTTTTTGAAATTTTTTAATATAATTGAATTTCTCCGAAAAATTTTATTATCTTTGAAAATAATTGAATTCCTAAAAAGAATTTTATTATTTATAAAAATAATTGTTTGCGTAGAATTTTTTTAAACTTTTTTTGAAGAACTTTATTAAAATTTAAGAATATAATTGAAATTTCTCCAAGAATTTCATTAAAATTTTTGAAAATAATTGAATTTTGGAGAAGAATTTCATTAGTTTTGAAAATAATTGAAATTTTTAAGAGAATTTTTAAAAAATTTTTAATATAATTGAATTTTTGCTAAGAATTTCATTAATTGTGAAAATAATTGAATTTCTGCAAATATTTGTTTAAATATTATTATTTAAATTGCCAAAGGCATTTTAAATTAAATCCTTTTGAAGTTCAACTATTTATGAAAATTGTAAACGGAACTCTTAAAATTTAATCAATTTTTAAATATTTAAGTAAAATTATTGATTAAATAATTTAGAAGTAATAATTTATGATATAGTTCTTCAATAATGAAGTTATTTAAAAAGAAATTATTGCTAAAAATAGAAAAAATTTAAGGTTTGGTATTAGAATCCGTGATAATTTTAAACTTTATGAGGCAAACAAGAAAGACACCAAAATTCAGAATTTTCTTATGAATTCTGGAAATTTAATTTTTTTCAAAACTTTTAATAAAAATCGCTGATTTTTTCATGATTTCCTTGACCAATTTTACTTTCCCTGAAATTCCTGATTTGTGGCAACCCTGAAGAAAAAAACAATTCTTGGGAAGATGGTTGAAAGAAATTATTGGCAAAAAAATGCATTCTTAATCAAGTAGTTTATCATAAAAACAAAGTAATTATAAGTCTGAAGTTCGCAAAAGTTTTTAAAAGTGAAATTTAGAAAAAACAAAAATTTGAAAAGAATTTTTTTTTTTATTTTTAGTTTTTTTGGGTACAAATTTTAAAAAGGAAAAGGATTTTTTACCTACAAATACTTTAAAATTGAAGCAAAAATAATGTTCCATTATTTTTCGTTTGCAAAAACATTGGGGATGACTTCAACTTCATAAATAATTGGATACAATTTCTTGACAAAAATTCAATAATTGATAATTCGAATTAATTGACAAAAATTCATTAAATTATTATCAATGAAAGAAATTTAAAAGCGAAGCAATTAAGGTGGGAGTTCAAACACATTTTGAAATCACGGTTTTCAGTTTGAGGATCTCTAATTTCACAGCTCTGGCAAACTATCTATAATGATCATTATTGATCGAAAGCACACCTAGTAGCATCACCTGCTTCGGTTCTATTTAAGACCACCTGGTGTCCTGCTTTAGCAGGTCATGCTTCCATTTTTAAAGGTTTCTTACACCTCTTTCCAAGGATCAATGTTTTATTTTTACTCAAAAAAAAATCCCCCGTTACCTAACACTCAAACTTTTCCCCAAACGACAATCGACAAATTTTCAGAAATTACTGCGATTACATTAAAAATCTAATTTTTACATTTGGAAACTTTGTAATTAATTTTTTCTTTAGTGAAAAATTACCCTAATAATTAAATTATTCAAAAAAAAAATTCAAGACCCCACTTTTGTTGAGAATATAATAAACGGAGTTAAAATTGTAAAAAATGAGTTTTTTCTAAAATAAACAACACCCACCTTCTTTGTTGAGCCTTTGCACGGTACTCTTGATGTGTTGAACAAATTTAAGGTATTCCTTGGTCGTGTAGTCGATACCCTCGATCTCGGGTATAGCCTTAAGACACTCGTCGGCCATGAAAGGTGCAGATTCAGGTGCGGCCGCCGCCAGGAGTGCTGAAGCCATGGTGGTGCCAACGCCCTTGAGATTTGAGAGGGCAGTGATGGCCTGCTCGAGATTTGGAAGCTTTTTGAACGCCTTCTTCGTCTCTGCCATCACAGCTCGAGGCGTATTTACCTTCACCAGGTACGAAAGTTGTGGGTAAAATTTCCCGCGCTGCAACACAAAAAATGGAGAAAGTCTCGTGAGTACATTTTTTGCCACTCGGTCAAATTTGTCGAAAAATAAATTACAATAAATAACAGCAGAAAGAATATAAAATATAAAATGAATAAAAATAAAATGAATAAAAATAAAAGGAATAAAAATAAAAGAAACAAAAATAAAATAAATAAAAAAAAATAAAAGCAAAAGAAAATTATACTAGATAAAAATAAAAGAAAATCTATATTAATAATCGTTGTATTCCCGTAGGTAATCTATTCGCAGTTTGAATTTAGTTGGTGTTTGCTTTTTGGTTTCTTAACTTTTTTACTAATTTTTATTTTTAGGTAAAATTTTCAATTTTTAAATTAATGTATTGAAAATCATTAAATTCTTGCGAAGAATTTTATCAAAAATTTTTGAGAAATAATTGAATTTCTTCGAAGAATTTTATTATTAATGGAAATAATTGAATTTTTAATAAGAATTTTATTAAAATTTTTTAAAATCCTAATTAAATTCTTTTGGAGAATTTCTTTAATTTTTTTTTTTAAATAATGGAGTTTCTTAAATAATTTTATAAATGAAAATTTTTACAGAAATTGAATTTTATGAACAATTTCTTCAAGTTTTATTAAAATAATCATGTTTCTTAATAATTTAAATTAAACAATTAAATTCTTGAATTTTATTACAATTTTCTAAAATAATTTAATTCTTTCGAAAAAATTTATTAATTAATTAAATTCTTTTGAAAAATTGTATAACAAATGAAGAGAAAAATGAATTTTTTCGTGAAATTTTATTAAAGTTTTTTAAAGAATTGCGAATTCTTTCATGATATATTTTTAAAATTGTATTAAAAATGATTGAATTTTTCCAAAGAATTTTACTATTGGATTTATTAAAATTTTATAAAATAATTGAATTCTTTTGAAAAATTTTATAACAAATTAAGAAAAAAATTGAATATTTTCGTAAAATTTTATTGAAATTAATGAAATTTTTGCAAAGATTTTACTATTTGAAAAAATAATTGAATTGTTTCGAAGGATTTATTGAATTTTTAGAAAATAATTTAATTCTTTTGAAAAGTTTTATAACGAATTGAGAAAAAAATTGAATTCTGTTTTGAAATTTCATTGAAAATAATTTTCGCAAAGATTTTATTATTTAAAAAAATAATTAAATTGTTTCGAAGGATTCATTAAAATTTTAGAAAATAATTGAATTCTTTGTAATAATAATAAATTGAATATCTCGTTCTGCGTAACATTTGCTTGTTACATATAATAAATAAATAACAAGGAAAAAGTAAAATATTTATTTAATTTTAAAGAAAATTGTATACTTACATTTTGTTTCCATTTCATTGTTTGTACGAGTTCCTCATGAATAAGATGGGCATCTTTGCCACGAGCTTTAATCTGCTTAGGCAACTCATTTTGGTACCTGGAAGCAAAAAATGACATTTTTTTTTCAAAAAATGTTATTTAAATTCTCGAAGTTCAGAATTAAATTAAAAATTTTATTTATATTTCTTTACTTTAATTTTTATTTCCTTTGATTTTTTATTTCTATCTGTATTTCTATTTCTTTTTTCAATATTTTAATTAAAATTTTTATTGAAACTTCTTTATTTCTATATTGTTTTAAATTAAAATTTCCATTCTGAAAATTTATATTTGAACTATGATTTAAAACTGTATTCCTAAAATTTAATTTTTTTTTAATTTTAAATTCTTTGGCGATTTATTGAAAAGAGATAAAAAAAAATTGTAACTGATGAATTTTTTTACATTGAAATTTAGGGAAATATGTGAAAATTAGAAGGTTTTTTGTATATAATTTAAAGGACAATTAATTTATTGGAATTTTCTACTGAATTTAGGTTCAACAAACAGCGTTGTTTTGTGATAAAAGAAAAATAGTTAAAGAAATTGCAATAGCAACCTTGAAATTCTCCTTTGTGAAGTTACTTAACTTACACAATATTCTCAAGAGATAGGACAATATAAACTTCTGCCACCAATGCATACATGTACGTTCGTATATGTACATAGTTACGTACTACTTGTAACCTATCACCTTTAAGCTGATCTCTTCTCATTTGTCTGTTTAAAACTTAAAGACCACACTAAGATGAAAATTCCCTCCATCCACCTTTGTTACTAAATTTTTAACTTGAAATTCAATTTGCCGACGGAAGGTCGTAAAGCCATTTTTATTAAAAAAAAGTCCCCAAAAAACTACTTCCCAAGACATTTTCTGTCAACAAAAGTAAAAAATCACATTTATTTATTTAATAAATAAACTTTAATTAATTTTAATACATTTTAAATACAAATTTAAAAAATTTGATTAAATTTCAACTCCTCTCAATAATAGAAATCATAGAAATAAAGGTATCAATTTATCATTTCTACTTTTCAGTTTTTAAACTTTGAAGCAAAGGCTGAAAACTGTCATTTTTAATAAAGAGAATACAACCGATATTATAAAATAAATACAAGTTTCTTTTTATAAATAAATTAAGAAGTCAATAACTTATTTTTCTTTGTCTAAATTCAGACAAGACAGTGAGAAATATAAATGTGAAATCACATGAATAGGGAAAACAAGAGCAAATTGACGCATTGACGCATAAGAAGTTAGCGCAATGTGATTTACTGAGAGATAAGCATGAGGTGGAAGGTTTTGTTTGTAAATAATCACATTTGATGCGTCAGTGAATGGGAAAAAGAGCGCGCAATGATTTGACATCTAATTGTAATTGGCATCAATAATATCTTAAGTAATGCTGACAGTACAACTAATCAAAAAGCAATCAGTAAAAATTACATTTCATACGAATAGGTACAAGAACATTGTCAAATAATATGCGAAAGAATGGGTCATTAGATGAATTTAAATTGTTTTTTAAATAAAAATAACTCGTGTATTGAGAAAATTTCAATTTTCTTCAATTTTTCTTCGATTGAAAGAATTCAAATATTTATAGGACGAAAAATTGACAAATTATTCGAATAATGAAGAAGAAAATAATAAAAACTCCGAAATTAGAAAAAATATTTTTTCTCTCCGCTTCAAAAATGGGGTTCGAAGCGTTTATCTAGACAAGCAATATGTTAACGATTCAAACAGACTTGATTGTAAATTATTTATAAATTTACAAAATATTCGGTTTTAATTTAAAAATGTTCTTTCATAAAGTATTTTCTACAAAATTTAGCAAGTCTCATTAATTGGAGCACGAACTGACGCCGCTCATGGCGACGTTGTCAATACGCTCGTCTGCTGTCATTGATTAAAAAAAGGAAAATAAGTAATCTCTTTCCCATTCATCGCGTGCGTTTGGAGCCAGTACATTAAGTCCATTGAATTAATTAAAAATCGTTTTGAAAAGGAAATTATAAGACTCTTGTTTTATTTGAAAACGTTGCTAGTGAAGCCTCTATCGAAATGGCAACGTCGGCGAGTTGCTTTGAGTTCAACTCAGCCTGAAAACGAGCTCAAAGTTCCGGGTCTCGACCCAGCCAATTATCAGAGACCCAGCTTTTTTTTCCAGCTATATCAAAAAACTGGAAATCTCAAAAAAAAACATCAAAAATTTGATGAATTTCGAATAGATTTGAAACTCAAAGAATCTCTCCGCCGGCCACGTGACGCCTATGCGTCGCTTCTCTCCTTTTTCACGTACCCTCCCCTACTACCCTGATGAAAATCGCGCTTCAACTATCCGCGAGATTTCGCATCGTCAATCGTAGCAATATCAAGAGTAGATAGCCCTCGAGGGTGCGGGTCGCTCTCCCGAGGCAGTATGCTACGTGCCCGCAACTGGCGCGCCTCGGGTTCATTGTCCGCGAAGCCCCTTTGAAAAACCCGACAGAGACCTTTCGTTTCAAGTCAATTAAAAACTCACCAATTGTCCAGCTTGATCAGCTCCTCAGGTTTCTTCGTCTTGTGGATTGCCTTGACTCGCAGAGCCTGGGGATATAATTTAAGGACGTGCTCAAATTGATTTGCAGTGCCCTCCGCAAAGAAAGTCGCGGTGTCTTTCACGGAAGCCATTGTGATAACTGAGCTTCAAACAGAGTCCACTAGAGCGCTCTTTCTATCTTTCTCTCTCTCTCTCTTTCTCGATGCCCCCTTTGAACTCCCCCCGTCACCGTCGCTCTTTATCTCTCTGTCCTTACGCTCCCCCCAACTAACACACCGGACAACCACGCGAGAAATTCCTCACCTCACCCTCCTAAATTCTCTTCTGTTTCCGCACCGTGATCGCACGACAATGATATCTTCGAAACTAGTCCACGCAACACCGTGGCGCTATTCGTTCTCAAAGAGTGCAGCTTTTAAGTCCTCGCTCCAATTTTTTTTTTACAATCACACACACACGTCAAAATCAATTTTATTTTTTTTTTTCGATAAGAAACGTAAAACTGTTATTTGAAAAAACCGTTAATGATTCTTTGAATTCAAACAAAGTAACAACTCAGTAGTAAATGAAAAAGTGAGTACAACTCCAAACTCTGGTATGATGTCAAGTGTTCAGTGGTAAAAACCGTTCTGTTCAGAACAGACCTCGTTTGACTGGCTCTGGAGGGGGATCCAACGATTACTCTCGGAAGGGGGCAGCACCGCTCGGCGTATTTCTCCTCAAACGCTTCTCTCCTCTATCTATCTCTTTCTCATTCGACTTCTCTCCCTTTTTCTCTCGACGATTCCTCCTCTCTCACCCTCCTAAACAGCACAACACTCTCTATTATGTACGAAAATTTCGACCGTTGAGCTGTCACTCCGGTGACTCTCACCGTGCGCCTCAGCTCGTTTCCTTGACACGTCTTCTTCGAATATTACTCGTGCTAACTTCCTTTCTCCTTTCAATCTCTTAAATTCTTCAAATTTTACTTCTATAGAAGTAGTTGGAAAAAATTAATTCAATTTTTCAAAATTATTTGCACCTCTATCGTTTTTGACCTTGTGATCAAGGATAACCCCGGGGGGGTTCCTTCGCCTTTTCAAATATTCAAATAGGAATGCAAAAATTGAAAATTACTAATTGAAAGTTATTGAAAATAATGTTATTGTATATTTATACTAATTGAAATTGTTACTAAATTTAGTAATAACTCTGAATTGAGAAAGGTAGCAAAAAACGTTTTTTTATATTTAAAATGAAAAGGGGGGTCTGGCAAGAGTTAAAATCGAAACGGGAACACGCAGCACAGAAAGTCGATTGGGTATATGTGAACGGTAGTAAGGCATACGACCGACTGAGGGCGCCGTTGCTTGTTTCTCATCTACCCCCACCCATAGGTTCCACCAGGTTCCTCGCTACTTGTCCTTTTCGCCCCTCTCGTCATCCGCTCACTACCGCAATCCCCTCTACCAGCGCCCTTCCTTCCCCTTAGAAGAATCGCACCTTTATTGCATCTACGTCAATTCGCATTGGAATTCGTGTCTGTTTTATCGAGTCTTGGAAGTGGCATGCATCGGTGCGTTCGAAACGAGCGCGCAAAGCGTTTGCTTGCGGGACTCGCTCTCTTCGCTGGTTTCGTTTCGCTGAGCCGTGCGACTGGAAATCGATGTCGATGGAAACCTGGTAGGAGCGGCGGCGGTGCCGATATGCAGGTCTCTCGGTGTGTCGTCGCTGACGATGCACGTGTATTTAGCTCGAGGACTTGTGATTGTATGGCTGCGCGCGCATTTTGCTCTCTCCCCACTATATTCAGAACGCATATACACACATGCATAGGTGCCCTCACGTACACAAATAATACGAATGATAAAGCCCGGTTTCCCATTTTCGCAACCGCTAGATTTGCTAGATAGATAGGATCGTCAATCGGGAAGGGGAAAAGAAAATTGAGGATGATTTTTCTGTAGGAAAAACGAGTTTTTTGTTTTCCTTTGAGGAGGGAACTTGAATTTTTTTTAAATGGGTAGAGATGGTAAAAGGTTCGTAACGGTTGAATGCTAAAGAAATAAGACAGGGGTCTGTGTTGGTGAGCTCAGCGCCAGTCTGCCGTCGGTAATAGCACTTGGGCCTGTGTGTGTGTGAATGTATGTTGAGTGCAATGGGGGCGATAGTGGTGTACGTGCTTGTGTGCGGACAACTGTCAGCCGTCCATAAGATTATTGTACTAGTAGTGGTGCGTTCCATCGTGAGATCTCGCTTTGCCAGGGACGGCTTAACAGAATACTTTAGGGGCGCTGAGGTTATACTTCCAGGCTTTGAATTTCAACTTTTAATTCTGATATTTAAATTCTTTCATTAAATTTTCTTTCTAAAACAAGAATATGAAAATAAAAAAATATATTTCTCCTTTTTGAAATACAAAGAAATTTTTTTTTCCTTTTGAAAAATTTTATTGCAATATTATGTAATATTTTATATTTTCCGTTTTTTTTAGTTTCTCCGACATTTTTATTTTATTTAAGCGGTAAGGAAAACTTTTTCACGACTTTTTTTTCTGGTTTATATTACTGGGGGAAAAAAAAGTTTCACTTATTTTTACACCGCAAGAAATCAAGAACGTTATAAAACGTCTTACGTTGTGTATTTAAATAATAACATTGTAATAAATAGCTAATTAGAGAAGAATGAATAATAAACATATTTTTATGAGGGGTCCACAACTGGGCTTTTCTAATATTTGAGTGACTTTGACACTTTCTGTCAAACATCCTTTAAATTATCACCTTTCCTTTTTCTGGAGAAGATTCATAAATTCCCGCACTCATAGAAGGGGAAGATGAGAGTAAAAAAAATATAATCCACTTTGCCGTAGCATTCAAGTGTTTTTCTAGCCCCGAGCTAGAAAATTTTAATACACTAAAATCTCGTTTATAGCGAGATTTCAAAAACAAGAACATTACTGTATTAATTTAAAAAACAAAAAAAGTAATTACAGTGAAACTGAAATTTTTCTTAATTTTTCATACTTTGAAATAAAGAATTGTTTTTTCATTGTTAAAAAACTCTGTTAATAATTATAAGCTCATTAAAATAAAATAGAAGTAATAAACACGCCTACCTAGAAAAAGTTTCTGAAAACATAAAACTTATCTCTCTCTCTCTTTTTAAATATAAAAACAAGAAGAGGATAGATTTCACTAGTAATAAAAGAAGGGGTAGATAATCAGCCTTAATGAATCTCTGTTAGAACGCGTAGGCAACCCGACTGACACTTACCTACTCTCATTAACGTCCTTATTCCACCTTCTAACACAATAGCCCATCCTAACGGTACTTAATTAAATTATCATGCACGAAAATTCGAATTTTGAGTTACCGTATCAATTAAAAATATTATTCAAATATATAAAACTCAGGCGTTAATATGTATTATGCAACTTTTTGTATAATTTTTAAATCTTTTTATGCATTTTAAATATTGTATTCAAATTTTTATCCAAATGTTAATCACTTTAAATTTTAATTGTTTTGAATCGACTGACTTTTCGCTTTCAAATCAGCAAAAATTTCAGCTGATTTTAATTAATGACTGACTTTTTGCTTTCAAATAAATTAAAATTTTAACTGATTTTAATCAATGACTGAATTTTTGCTTTCAAGTCAGTTAAAATTAACTGATTTTTTAGTAAAAACAATTTTTTACTAACGAATTAGTAACACTGGAAAAAAAGAATTTTATTTTCAGCTTACTTTTGATTAAAATCAACTAAAAAAATTAGCGACTAAACTTTAGTCTTTTTGTAAATTTTTTCCGGATTTAAAAACAAATAGTCAGTGATTGATTAAATTAAGTTTCTTCCTAAATTTTAATTTGTGAAAAATGCAATACAAAGTACAAAATTCTGTAAATTTTACTTGCTTTTTGGCTGATTTTAGCTTGCAAGGCTACTGGAGAAACGACCTTAAAGCGATTATTAAAAGTTTAAAACTACGAAGAAAAATAGTAATATTTGACTAAAAATTAGTAAAGATTTTTTACTAATAATTTAAATTAGTGGGAGACTTTTAACTATAATTCAAATTTAAAGAGAACATTATCTGTTACTGTAAAATTTTTAAGAGTTCTACACAGTAATTTTTAAATCAAATGAGCCATAATTGCGAAAATTATTATGACATATATTTGATTTTAATGAGCTAGTAATAACATTATTAGCAGAGAATTTAGCAGTAAATAGTATGAATTTTACGGCTCAGAAATATTGAAAAACGTGTAATATGATTAAAGAATATTAAAAAACTGTAAGTATTCAAGAATAAATTAATAGTATTAAACAATTGAGGGGCTGGATGCTATAATGTGTTACGCGTGAACACACGGCCAGTCAGTTGGGTCATGGAGAGAAAATTTTGAAGTTGTTCAAAATAAATTTAAAATTATTGTTTCTTGTTCAGAATGTCAAGGCGAAACTTTTTTTCTAATAAAATTTTTTTATATAATTTTTTGTTTTTAAGTAAATTGAGAAAAGCGTGATTTTTTAACCTAAAAAATTTTAATGAATTTTTGACTTCAACTCGTGATTACTTCGTTAAATATTAATATTTTTCCACGAAATTTACACACAATATTCTTCAAACTAGTTCAAAAGTGAAACAATATTTAATAATTTTTCAAAAAATTCTATGTCTAAGTAAATAATTATTTAAATAATTTTGCCGGAAAAATGATTATCCTATTTTCAATTGGAAAAGTTGAGTGACGAATTTTCGTTTTCGGAAAACTTCCAGTGACTAAAATGTTCATCAATATGTTAGGAAGTTTTTTGGAAAATTTTTCGTCATTTGATAATAAATTAAAGAAAATAGAGCAATTTTAACAGTGTCGCGCTCTGCTGTAAAATTACGGCGTGGCCGCGCACGTGTGGAATGGCCGCCATTACAAGACCAATGTATACAGTGAGTCAATGTTTACGTTTACAGCAGAGCACGACGCTGTTAAAATTGCTCTATTTTCTTTAATTTACTATCAAATGACGAAAAATTTTCAAAAAAACTTCCTAACATATTGATGAATATTTTTGTCACTGGAAGTTTTCCGAAAACGAAAATTCGTCACTCAACTTTTTCAATTGAAAATAGCTGCATCATTTTTCCGGCACATTTATTTAAATAATTATTTACTTAGACATAGAATTTTTTGAAAAATTACTAAATATTGTTTCACTTTTGAACTAGTTTGAAGAATATTGTGTGTAAATTTCGTGGAAAAATATTAATATTTAACGAAGTAATCACGAGTTGAAGTCAAAAATTCATTAAAATTTCTTAGGTTAGAAAATCACGCTTTTCTCAATTTACTTAAAAACAAACAATTATATAAAAAAATTTTATTAGAAAAAAAGTTTCGCCTTGAAATTCTAAACAAGAAACAATAATTTTAAATTCATTTTGAACAACTTCAAAATTTTCTCTCCATAACCCAACTGACTGGCCGTGTGTTCACGCGTAACACATTATAGCATCCAGCCCCTCAATTATATTTAAATTATAAGCAAAATTATTTCTTAATATGAAGGAATTAAAAACGAATTTTATCAGGATTTAAACTCACTCAATCTGAATTAGTTAATTAAAAAACTAATTGTTAGTAAATTTTTGGCTGACTTTTTCTTCAGCAGTTAGTAAAAAATAACTACACTCCAACGCCGGTTTAGCGGACACCGATTTAACGGACTTTTTGGGTTGTGATTTACGATTTTCTTTGTCCTGCCTCGTTAAAGGTATTGTTAAGGTATTGTTCGCTTTAATGGACGACTCCCCAGACAGTCCGCTAAACCGGCGTTGGAGTGTAGTTATTATTAGAAATTAACAAATTAAATATTTACTACTTCATTTAGTAATTTTTAATTTTTAACTCAAATAAGTAATTATTAGTGGAAAATAACTAATTATTAGTAGAAAATTACTAATTATTAGTAAATAAATAAGTACAAAAATAGTCAAATTTAATTTGACTTTTTGTTTTTCAATTAGTAAATTTTACTAATAAATTAATAAAAATAACTATTTATTAGATAAATTTACTAATTTGAAAGCAAAAAGTCAGTCACTAGTTCTAATTAGTAAACATTTTTACTAATTCAAATTTAGAGAGTATAGACTGAACAATAAAGAATACACTAAAAAAAAATTTATTTGATTCAAGTAACTGATTAATTGACTATTATCAATTAAATATTTAATTGAATCAAATAATATTTATTGGAGTCAATTAAATAATATTTGCTTCAAATACTGAAATTATTGGTTCAAATATCA